TGCATTTTGATAGTTTTTTTGAAGGTCATCAAAGATATATTACAATCTGCAAAGACGGCCATGTCAAGCAGAATTCACATTCTATTATTATTTTCTTTGATCACGATGTATTATTATTATTATTATTATTATTATTATTATTATTATTATTATTTCCTTTGATTTCGGTTGTATACTACTTTCATCGTGGGTCCCAATCAGATACCTAAGATGAGAAATTGCATCATGATATTTCCCACTGCCCATCCGTGTATAGAAACCTAAAAATGCCTATTATTATTATTATTATTATTATTATTATCTTCTTTGTTTTCTGGTGTTTACACATTTCTTTCCGGGTCCCGCCCAGGGACCTAAGGTTAGAAATGGCGTCATGACACTTTCTACAAAAAAAAAAAAAATTACATAGATAAAGCCCTTCGTAAGGTGTGGGCTGAACTTGTCAGAACAATTTTTTGTATCACCTTGAGGTATGGACTTCCAGGAATCCCTTCAATTAGTCTACTGCAATCTTTTCCAACCAGTCCTAGGGCTCCAACTACAACATGGATTGTTGATGTTCCCCTATGCCACATTTTCGAGATTTCTATTTCAAGGTCCTTATACTTTGACAACTTTTTGAATATCTTCAAAGATACATTGCAGTCAGCAGGGACTGCCATATCAATAAGGAGGCACCGTTTTTGTTTGTGGTCTTTAATAACAATATCTGGCCGGTTGGCCTTGATTGTTCTGTCAGTGTGTATTGTGTAATCCCATAGAATTGTAACAGGTCCTTATTATTATTATTATTATTATTATGCTGTTGTTGTTGTTGTATTTGTTTCCATGTTCATTTATATAGAACGTAGGCTTCGCCATGCCATTACCTCAGATAAACAATGGTCCTGTTCGATTGCGATGTTAGACGGGAGAAAAGACATATCATAGGCGCTGGCAACTTATGTATTGATGTGCATTCATATTCATGGGAGTTATCATACTTGTATAAAGTTGTTAAACTCTGATATTTAATGATGCAATAGGGGAATTTTCATTGCTAGTTTGTCGTCGTGTAACTTGCAAGGAAATTATTCAAACGTTAACTTAAGAATTAATATTTATGAGAAAATCCCAATAGGAAACACCGTCAAACTTTCACGGGCATTTCTAACTGCTGTTGTTGTTTTTATTATCATTATTATTATTATTATTATTATTATTATTATTATTATTTCCTTTGATTACTGTTGTATACATATTTCCTTCTGAGCTCAACCAGAGACCTCAGGCTACAAATATCTTCTTATATTTTCCACTGATCATTTTTGTAAAAAAAAAAAAAAGATCATACACATTTTACATAGATAAATCTCTTCGGAATCTGTGAACTGTAATTGTGAGTAATTATTTTCATATATATATTTTTTTAAGGAATGGGTTACAAGTATGTATCCCTCGGGGACTTTTCTAATAAGTCTGAGGGCTCCAACTTCAATTGCAATCATTGATGTCCTTTTTTATCAGAATTCCATTCTGTTCTTGTGTTTTTTTATCACGATATCTAGGCGACTAGATTCGTTTGTTTTCTCTTTTTGTATTATAATGACTCATAAACTTGCTACAGATCCAATGCCTGTAACCGGATCTGCGTGGTATTCAGGCCAGTTGATTGCCGTTTACTAACCGTAAAAGTGCATATTTTCCAGTGTAGATATTGTCCCACTCTGTTGTACTGTGTTTAATATTCAGCATGTGCTAACACTGTGTAACTTGATACAAGATGGTCAATTGTTTCTGGATATTTATCACGGAATCTGCATTTGGGACCAACACAATTTTTTTGTGCTTGATAATTTCTAGTTAGCAAGAATTTGTCCAGTGCAGCAAGAATAAAATTTCCAGTTTCAGCTTTTAACCCTGCACTACGTAAACACTGATGAGTATGTGATTTAAATTAGTTTATTTGGTACGGACTTGGTACGTATTGATCCTGAAGAAGCTTATCTTGTCATCTTTTTGGCATATTGTATTTGCTTTCTTTTTTAGGTTCCTTGCCGCTGCAGTAGGTGTGTTATGCTTTACTTGCACTTCTTCACCCACTTGAGATCCCCTTTTCAATATGCTAACTTGCTTTATTACTTAATAAAGTTTCTTCAACACAGATCATCAATCAGTCTTCTGTAGACTGCGATTGTCGTGATCCGGTAAGACAGTTCCAGTAAAACTAAGCGTCTGCTTCTTTCGGATCTGGGCACATATATCCATCATCCTTAGAATTATTCATGGCGTGCCAAATGGAAAGTTTTCATTTGTTTTGTTTTCCATTCGCTTAATGTCAGCTGTGGTCCAATTAAGGATAGGGAAACTGTAGTGCAATAAAGGGACAAACAAAGTGTTTATGGCTGGTAATCTGTTTTGTGAATTCAACTCTTTGTTTAAAACCAGTCACACGTCTGGACTATTCTTTTCGTAAATGCTGCTTCCATCTCCTTCGCTGACTCCTAGGTATTGATAGGCTTCTTCTTGTTCCAGTTCCCTAATCTTTGTGATAAAATCTGGATCAATTGAGCGTGATTCAGTAATCCTCCTTTTTTTTTAAAGTTTCTTTTGCGCATTTATCTATTCCGAAATCCATACCGAGGTCATAGCTGAAACATTTTACTGTACGGGGGAGACCCTTCAACTCAATGTCGTCTTTGATAAAGATTTTCAGTTCATCCATGTAGAGTAGGTGATTGAAACATTTATTGTTTAGTTTGTATCCACAGCTACTATAGCTTAGTTCATGCCTAAGGGGAGGATAAGGACAGGCAAATCAGAAGGGATGACGGAGATTCTTTGAAAGATATTCAGGCGGTTGGATGTGGCAGTTCGTTTGGTGTCATTTAGTTATAATGTGGTTTTCCATATATCCATGGTGTGATTAAGGATATTTATGTTGCAGTTTTTTGTGTATACTTATGTACTAGTGAGCCAACCCAAATAACTTGACTCACTTTATAGTCCACCAATAGAAGGTTAACCAATCAGAAGACGTAGAACATTCAATCCGTCGTGTATAAAGGCGGCCATTTTGTTTACTCTACCCGAATGTCCAGCTCCAGCTTGTCAAGCGAAGAGAAACAGAAGGACGAACTACGCTCTGCTACTTTTACCAAAATATCCACTGCTAACCTGAAATAAGCTTCCCTACTCTCTTCGAAATATCCACTGCTAACCTCTGGATTCTATACTCGAAGATGACCGTCATCATGAACAACAATTTACTATAACCAAGAAGGCTTAGTACGTTTCCAAAATTTTAAGGATCTAGGTACGTGACATACTATGAAAGCTTTACGGTAATCTATCCATACTGTGCTGTGTTTTCTACCTCTTTTTCTGCAATTTTCCAGGGTCGTTTTGCTTTTCATTAGTTGATCTTTGCAATTATATAAACCTCTCCTGTATCCCATCTGTTCCAAGGGAAGAACATCGCTTTCTTCGAGAAAAGATTAAGTACAATTCGTCTGGACAGGCGTGAGCAATTTATACGTGGTGGACAGATAGGTTACTGACCTATGATTTTTCGGATCGTCTGTTTTCCCCGTTTTCTTTTGTTTTTGTTTTTTTGGCAATACATATGTAATATCTTCAGTGATCCATTCTGAGACTACATTGGGATTACTAATAAGCATTGATAAAGTTTGTGCAGGGGTTTTATGGATGGATGATAGAGCCAAAAATTGGTTACCTTGTCATTTCTTGCCTATAATTAATCGTGGCTATATTTCCCCATTCGTGTAGAGGTTTATTCACCAATCGTTCTTCTCTTTGGATCCACTCTACATTGGGGTTATATTCTTAGGGGCTGCTCCATATATTCTCGCAAAATTTCTGCACTTTTTCAATAGATGGTGGCTTTTTCACATCCATAACTGTTTCCCAATTTCTCTGTAAAATTTCTTAATGTCCGTTTGGAATATATTATTATTATTATTATTATTATTATTATTATTATTTATTTATTTATTTATGGATTTATTTATTTTGAATTCTGATTATTACAATCCCTTAAACCCTTTTGAATAAATGTTGATATGTACAGTGTTTATATTATTTTTCAGATTGAGTAGATTAGCAGTTGAACATATTTCAGCTTTTTAAAATCTGTTTTAAACAGGGGATGCCAGGGATATATTAACGTATTTGTGGGTAAGTTTTTATCGTTACCAAGTGCTTTAAGAATTTTAATTATAACAGTATTTTTAACGTGTCACATTTATTTTTTTTTCACTTTTCAGGTTCGATAACTTTATATTGACGTATTTTGTTATATCATTATTATCCTTATTATCATCACCATCATCATAATCATTATCATCTCTTCTTCCACATGATTTTTCGTTTTCAATAGGAGATATTGCATTATGGGTCATTACTGTCAAGAATATTTGCGCGGTCAAGTAACGCAGAATTCAGATGCGCTGGAACACTAGGTCTTACTCCGTCTTTCTTAATGTATATAATAATGTTCATTGATACGCCTCCAATGATAACCTGGACGTTTGTCGCGTGAACATCAATTCAGAGGTCCCCGATATTTTTAAGCTTTTCAATTTCTCTGACCTTCATTTCATGGTCAGTAGGGAGAGACAATATCGATTAGAAGGCATTTCCTTATTTTCTTTTATTTCTTCCCTTTTTTTTTTTTTTTTTTTTGACTACGGTCATATCTGGTTTAGTAGTCTCAAGGAAGCGGTCTATTTAGATGTTAGAATCCGAACAGATATTGATTTGGTCGATTTCCATTACCTTTTCCGGCTTTTTCTAGTCTAATGAATTATCATAACAATCTACTGGCGACGTTAGTCGACACGAAAGGAAACATAGCATCTAAATAAATCTCAATACACGCCTGTCAATGGCCAAATTGAATCTAAGAGACGTAACTGAATATAGTTATACCTGTTCAGTTAAATTCAATTGTAATGTGACTGCTTTTTTATATAAGGATTTCAGATTTCATTTCTCTTACAATGAGGCATGATTTTTCTTTTATTTTCTCTATCGTGATTTCTTACTTTAGGTTCATCAATAGAGTTAACTTGCTTGATAATCTGATAATCACAGGTCGAATAGAGTGAACGAGAGACAATGAAAAACAACGCATGGCACCTAACGGACTTAAGCAAGTGGATGAGAGAACGTGGTCTGTGGAAGGTGGCAATGGGAATAGAGAGCTGAAAGGAATAGAAGGTGGTGGAGAGCCATGACTGACTACGTCCTGAAAGGACACGGCACATAGAAAGAAAAGAAAGTACCTGAAGTAAGCAGATTGGCTGATACGCATTTACGTCTATATCTTCGGATACGACGCATAGAAAGAATTAATTGTGTGAAATGCACGTATTTTATGAAATCAAGAAGAGAACAACACAGGCTTTACATATTAAGAATAGTGTTTTATCAATTGTGAGGAAGAAAAACGGCCAAGTAAAATGACTCTCTAACACGGAGGATTGTGTGGAGTGTGCTAGAAGTAATAGAATCCTGGTCATGACAACCTGACATTCCTGGAAATTTAATGAGGAGTAAGAAAACGCTCAAAACAAGCAGTTAGAAATGCGGCAAAATGGCTATCGTTATGGAGAGGGAAAGAAATAGAATCTTTATTAATAACAGCCCAGAATAATTCTTTAAAAGCCTCAATAGACAGGACGCAGTAAAATATTAAATGTAGAACACACAACTGTTTTTGAAAAGAAAATGTCCTCCTAAAAATATTTGATTTTTATTTGGTCAGATTGTATAAAGGGCCACCTGCTTAGTTTTATTTTTCAAAATTCTTCATAGAGATGGAAACGAGACGGCTTTTTTTCTATTCATCGTACATGTACATCAATCTGGATTAATTAATAACGGTTCGACTTGAGGAATTTGAGTGCAGAGTCCGAATTCCAGTCGTGTTCGTTACTTTTGATTACGTTCAAATAGTCCTGGGGAAGGCATGAATCGATATCTTCTCGTGACATTTTACACACAGCCATGGGTCTAGCAGAATAATACCGATTTCGAAAACCTTCAAATATGTTTTAAATATCCTCAAACAATTGGGGTGTCCAAATGTCTGCTGCGTCTTATATTTTAATTTGGGAAGTACTTTTCCACTTCTTCCAGGATACAAAATGGAGAAAAACGGGGCAAATTGAATTTATTGGTTTACTGGAGAGATAATAAAGACAATATCTATCCAATGGCGTATTGCAACAAAGGGATGTAAATCTTTCGTAATGTTTCTCAAAGTCCCGTACGGTTCCGTAATTTTTCCGCATTTAATTGAGTCCAGACACCTACGCTAGTTTGGAAATTAGTAGAAGGCAAAAAATATTATTTAATTTACGATAAAAATGTACAAAATACAAAACATCGGTCATATTCATTGCCCTAATATAAAGTGCGTTTTATACATGAAAAAAAGTTTGTTGCTTTTTCCCTCGGAATATTTCTGCTTAGTATAAGGCGCAGTTAAAACTGCGCTTTATACCTCATTAATCAGGGATTCCTATTCCCATTTTATAGTCATGATGCATGCAAAGAATTTATTCAATCACGAACTGAATAATTAAGATTCATCGGAAAATCAAAATAGAATATCAGTGTGTTGTGATGGAGAATATTTGCCTACAAGTTTGGACTCGGCCTTAGGATGAAAGACATAAAAATACTCCTACATCAAGAGAGTATCAGGAGGAGCAGTAGCAGCAATAGCCTTTGCTGTGTACAGTTATTCACGTTTAAACATTTTCTTCCATAGTTTCTGTTATGGGGTCCACCACTTTTTCATACAAGTAGACTCGACCCGTGGGTACTTCTACTGCTGCTGGTGAATGTCCGGGAGATCGAGTGAGTAACAGAGATACACTGATACAGTGAGAGACTAAGAGTGTGAGGAAAACCGCTTTGTAGGAGTCACAGTTGCGAGCACGCAGACTCAGAAGGAAGTCATACTTCGATACTGAATTTCCCAGACTGTATATACATTATCATTGCTACTAACTGCATTTATGGATCTACTAACCGTATTACCAATTGTATTATGTTAATACATTTATTTGCAATATTTCATTCCTGCGTTTGTCATTCATTTGAGACCGGATTTCATCCCGGAATCCACAACAGTTTCTATTCTCCATTATGCTTCCCTGTGCCAAAAGATAATAAACTTGTTAAACCAATTCCGGTTTTCCACTGTTGTTTTTGATAAACCAGTTACTACGCAATTAAATTTCTACGAGTATATCTATTAACGTCTCGTAGGACCAAACATATAAGCATCGACAAGGTTTTAGAGAAAATAGAAACTAAAAGGAAACGTATACTTAACAGGAAAAATCAGTTTAACTTTCTGTTGCACGTAATGAGGAAGAAGTGCTCGGAAACTCTGATACCCACAGGACAGATTGGAAGAGGAAAGAGGGACTAGAAAAGCAAAGCGTAACATACTTGATGATTTTGAGTAAATGGATGGTGGAACAAAGTTTGGGCAGAAATAACAGAAAGACAAAACCTTTTAAGATCTACAAGGGACAGGAAGATGTAGAGGGCTATGATCGTCTACGAATTGAATTGACACTGCACATAAAAGACAAAAGTAGTATCTGCTGAATTTATCATTGAGAAGAAAAGTATAAAATTTTGCGATTTAAATGAATCACAGAAAAGTGTCTTAAATACAAGATGGTAACGAAGAAAAGCTATTGTTAATGTATTAAACTATTTAAAAAAATGCATAGTAAAAATTGAAAACAGCATTAACGTCTAGATATCTATTTTTTGTGAGAGAAGTAAGGAGACTGTACAAAAGAAATTGAAAATTTCTCCACACAACATACGAAAATTTCGATAAATTTAAACAGATTATATCCGAAGGCCACTAAAACCATACTAGATGGCGACGCCCTACGTCCGGTCGTAATTAGTGGTGGATGTATGGGTTGATAAGCCTCAAGACGAACCGGCTTTGAATCCAGATTTCTGCTTCCCCTCAACGCTAACTGAGCCAAATCTGCCCTGCTGCTAAAAGCCATATCTAAGAAGAAATTGAATTTTACTTTTCATATGGATATTTTTGCGAAAGTTAAGTCAACAATTTCGGCCGGCATTTGAACCCGGTTCTCCAATACCACTTTCCGAGCCGAGAACCGCTAACCTAGGTACATATACCCAACCAAATGGCCAAACCTTAGAATTTCTTTTAATAAACCAATTTCTTACAGTTATTATTAGCGACTGGACGACTTACAAATATAGTTGCAAAGAGAATGGCATATTTCTTAAGTAAATATTTTTATATACTAATATTCACCCAATCCAAGGCCCAAGAGCCACACAAGGTAGAAAATCACTGTGTAATGTTGTTTGAGCATAAGAAGAAAAAAAAACAAGAAGTGATGTCCATAGCCTTATACAGGAAAGATAGTGATTAACTCAAGATTTCAAATGTTTTAGCGATTTGGAAAACATACTGCCGGGAGTCTGTCCCACAAAAAAAGCAGGCCTTGAGAAGAATCAGTTCAACTGGAACTTACTCCTTACTAATGGAATAAAAAAGGGAGTAGACATGCTTGATCTTTGTGTACGTGCTACGGTGGGTCCCAGTTGTAAAGGTCACACACTGGGGGACTAAGGAATGTTGATCTTCAGAATATGATCTTTAGAAATAGCGACAGAGCAGCGAGACTTTCACGATGTTTTTTTTTTTCTGTAAGGGAAAGCAATGATATGCGGGGAGAAGCTGTTCAAATGGAACTTCCAACCGACGGAATACAGAGGGAATGTGGGTGGTAGGCTACAATATAAGTTCCTATAGCTAGTCCTAGCCATGAAAATTAGATCAGGCTGAACTTGGACAATCATGACTCTCCACAACTTCCTAAATTTTTGCAGCTCTTACTAAGGTCTGTATTTTCACAACACTCCCCACGATATGCCCTTTCATCATTTTGCATAAGATCAAATAGAAGTTAAAATAATAGAAACACACAATCAAAAAAGGTTGGGTTACATAAGTTTTCAAAGGCACTTGGGTGTCGGCACATTATGATGAACAAGCTAACTAAAACGTTTGACATTATTTAACTACTTTGTTTTATACAACGACAAAACATTCTACCAAGAGCACATTTTAAGCATCTCTTCACATGCTATAACACACATTACTGTTTCGGAAGGCACGGACCTTTAACCTTATTTCTTTGATTCATCACCACCAGCCTTTCAGTTCTGAAAACTGCTTGTAAATGATAAATGATAGCGAACTTATTTACATTGCTAAGCATTATCGCCAACAAACCCCAAACTGTTTAGACAGATTAGTCACTGTTTCTCTTGCCTTCAATATGTCCTGTTGGTGTCAAATACTTTCCTCATAAAATGTCCTAGAATATTCCAATCGCGCTTTCATCTATGTTTGGACACCTCCGATTTTCCGGCATAAATTTTTGATACCTAAGGTTAGAATTACATTTTTAAAATGAAAAATCTTTCTTGAAGATTTCATTTCAGCTTTAATTGAAAGTTAAATGATAAATTTATTATTTCCATTAAGTAAAATATTCGGCTGTATTTCAGATAAACATTATATAGATTGGAACGTCAAATTTAATTTCGATTTCTTAAAAGCGGCCATTTTCTTAATTTTAAAATTCTTTCAAAAAATACATATATATTTCTGACACGTTATTTGAGTAAAAATAGAAAATTCAAAGTTAAATTAATTACTTACTTATAGCATAAAAATGTAATATACAGTCAATTATTAATGATTGGTCCTGTTCATCTAATCCAAGGTTTGATTGATGAAGCGATGACAGCTACTGTTGAAACGTAATTGAAGTCACCTAAAAAAGGGACAAAACTTTTAGATTACGTGACCTTTTTCATAATAATGGCAATTTCAGTCTACCATACATATATAACTTATTTAGAAAAGCAATTAAAAGTTTTTTTCTAATTAAATAATGCCAGAGTTTTATTGGATTCATTATTTTTCAATTCAGAGCAGATTTTCAGTTTGAAAAGCTCAAATTTTTAAAAAATAGTTTATTTACAATCTCCAAGGACTCCTACTTTTATCAAAAAAAAATTAGGAAATATAAAGGTTTTTTTGCGGAATTTCATGAAATTAAGTAATTAGGGGGTAACATATGTAAAAAAAATATTTTTTACCGAAATTTTCTAAAAAAAATTTACAGAATAATTTCCTTCATTTGTGTATAAGTCTTGAAAATTTCATTAAAATCGGACAATTAGTTGATTTTTACAAGAATTTCCAAATAAATGTGTTCTCAATGGAAAAAAAAAACGTCAATGTTATAAAGCCACCGCGATGGCGTAAACAAAAGAAGAAATTAATCAAAATTTAGAACGTGTTAGTAAGGATTAAAAAATTTCAAGATAATGATTAAAAATTACTTTGGACTTTCATCTTAATAATAGCATAAACATTTTGACGATAAAACTTTATTTTTATTAAGTTTGTAGCCTTTTTCATTACGCTATGCTGTTTTCCACGAAAAAAGTGGCGGTACCTATCTAAGTTTAAATAAGTGTTTTCTATTTTCTCAAAACTTTTGTTGTTGGTCATATATTCATCCCACATATATTCTCAGCATCTTTCTGTGAAAGAACATTTCTGTTGCCTCAAGACTTTTCTGCATCTTTGAGGAGATTGATCGACATGCACTGCCATCTTGGAGGGCTGATTTTACATGGCAGTTCAGTAGCCTTTTATTTCATTCTAATGAATGATTTATTTTTCTTCGTTATGGTCTTAAGCTTTGGAAAGATATATTTCTTTACACAGTGGCTGCTTCACATTTCTCTGCTACATTTACCGTTCTCCGTTAAAATGCCTCCCAGAAATTGTAATATTGTTTTTGGTCTAATTTTTATCTCACATCTTAATCCCTTCCTTTCGCTGACAAACATATATTGTTAAAGTCAAAAAAGAAAAGAGAAATTAGAGAAAGGTTTGACAACTATTATGTTAGCCAGTTGGGTCTCCCACACACACATTCTCTTCCAGACAATTCCAGACTCATTCAAAGAGACTATCTTACATTCTCTCACGCATATATTCTCTTATTCGTTACTTCTCTCTCTCACAGTTTCTCCTTTTTCTGTCTCACTCACCATATTCTCATTCCCTCTCCAATAAACCTTTACTCAGTCTTTCTCTCTCCAAGACAGAGATATACTAAATCTATCTCTATAAAAAGTCACGCTTTATGTTATATCTCAAACTCCCTACTTCTCCAATTCTATGCATTTCCTCAAGGAGACATGGCCCAGTGGATAAAAGCGTTAGTTGAATCCAGTGACTTGACACAAAGAGTTGTGAGTTCAATACCTAGCTACTGCAGTGGTGAACAAAAAAAAACTTGGAGAGTTGTGTCAAAGGGAGATAATTGAGACACTCGGAAGAAGCATGGCACGTAGAAATAAACTTCACCCCGGTGGACGAAATAAATTCCAATCACCTGAAGAAGGCTGGATCGTAAAACGGCCGAAACGTCGTGAATATGGCAAAAAGAATGAGGACAACAAAACGTAAATAATTACAATGTTTCATCGCAGAAATATATACAGTAACCTTTTCCTTTTTATGTGAATCGCTCTATATCTCTCACACAGAGATTCACTCTCGATTTCTTTATCTCGCTTTCGCAAAGATTTCTTTTTTGCGTTCTTCTTTTTTTGTTTCTTTCATAAACGCATAGACTTTCTTTCTTTCTTTTCCTCTGTTTCCTTCTTTGTACCTCCCAATCTCTCTCTCTCTCTTTAAAGGGATTTACCAGTAAAGAGCGACGAGTTATCAATCTATTTTAATCTGCATCGCTAATGTGAAGTATTTGACGATGTTGTCCGTCCTCTTCATTCGGTCAAGGTAGCCATATTGATTTTTTTCCTCGTCTTTTTTTTTGTTGTTGTTTACTCTTTAAGTGACTTTCTAGTTTTCTTTTTCTGATGAGATTCGTAATTTTAACATTTTATTTGGATCTTTGACGCCAGCCATTCTTATTCTTTTTTCTCCTTTGAGAAAATTTTCTTTATATTTTCTCCTTTTATTTTTTTTTTTCATTTATGTATTTATTTATTCCGACAATCGTCTTTTTTTTTTAAGTTTGTTCTTTGATGTTTAATTCTCTTTTTCTCATTCTGTTTACAATTATCTCCCCTTAGTTCATACGTCAACTATCTTTCGTCATTTCCCAGATTTATTTTTCCTTCTCTCCTATTTTGATTCTTCTTATTCCTTTATGCTTTTCTTTTTCACTGTGTATTTTTTTTCAGTTTCAGGTCCTTTTTTTTTCTTTTTCTTCCATTTCACTTTTTTTTAAAATTAATTATTTTATTATTTCGTTCATCTTTCATTTTTTTTTTAAATTCCAACAAGCCTGCTATCATTGACTTCCTATAAACATGAATTATTAACACATAATAATGAACTGCAGGAATAAAGCCTACTTTCTACCATCAGGGATCCAATGATTTCCTAAGGCGTTTTTAATCCCGCACCTGACGATACAGAGTGAATCGAGCTCCTTGAATCCGAAATAGAATAAACCCATTCTTTGTTATAGTATAAGATATAAGATACTCTATATTTAATTTTAAGTACCGTCAGACAATATAATATGAATATGTAGATAACGGGAGCATTTTAAAGAAAATAGAAACTAAGGTTGAAACTTATACTTACAATCAGAACGAGTCTAACCTTAATTACTTGGATGTGGAATGATGAAAAATAGTCTTAATAATTTACATGCACAAATTGATTTACGGTTTATCAAAATTTCGTAGGTTATTTAAAGCCAAAAATAATCAGAATTTAATATCTTTTGACAGATAATAATTACTGATACAAGCTCGACTAATTAACCCATAGCTGATGATAGAAGATCTGGATTATTACATTTTCTAAGGGTATTTGCACGTAAGCGAATATAACGAACCTGACTGGTATTAGAAATCTGCTCTCCAATTTCTAATTCCGAAACGCTGTCTATTACATCACCCACATATCCAAGCTTACAATACCTTGGTGTTGACCAGACTCGACGTTGCTTAACTCCGTTCACGGTAGGGGAACCGGTGTTTCAACCTGATATTGCCGTAAACCTCCATGAAGATAAGTCGGCAGAATCTGGAGAGAACAGCGACTAATCTATTTAAAGGAGAGGATAGCGGAACATAAACAATGAGGGATGGTAAAGGGTCAAGAACAGAGAAACACAAGAAATTGAGGAGAGCTATAGACCCCAACGCTCACAGGTAACATGACATGTGGAAGAATAAAGTATTTCGAACTTTCATTTTCTCCCTGATTTTCATTTCCTTTCTTTTATTTATTTAACAATTTATTTAATTTTTTGGCATTTTTCTTCTTTTTTTTATTTCTTTAAATCTGCAATGTTATTTGTCCAAATCTGGCATATCTGCTTCATTCATTTCCTTGTCGCTGTAAGGTAACGTCCCTAGACTTTTTCTGTCAATACTTTCATAGTAATTGTTCCGACGATTTTTCTTCTATGGCAAGGCAATTAGACTTTATAAATCCCTCCTTTAGTATTATATTTTCTCATATTCTCTACCCCCCCCATTACGTCTTAGTGGCTTTATTGCCTTGTTTGCTGTAGAATCATTAAAATAAATTGTTTTATTTTTTTTAACTTCTGGCAGTTTTATCGCATTATATAATTATTTTTCTTCCTTATTTTCAGTTTTGTATATATTTTCTTATTTATTCCTTTGCTGTTTGCATCTGTATGTCTTCGCAACAGAAGTCAGCTTCTTTCTTTTTATCGTTCCTTTCATTATATTCCTATATTCCCGGTCGTCAGAAATAATGTTTTTTTTCATATATTTTTTTTACTTTTTTCGTTTCATGATTTGTTCTAAATTTCATTCATTTATTTTAGAATTTCTTTCATTCATTCATTCATTCATTTATTCATTCATTCATTTTACACTTTATTTCTTTCATCCGTTCATTCCTTTTACACTTTCTTTCTTTCATTCATTTCACGCGTTTTTTTTTCTGTCATTCATTCCTTAGTTTTTTTCTGTCCTTCGTCTATTCCTTCTACACTTTATTTATTTCTTTTGTTCATTATTTTATACTTTATTTCTTTCTATCATTCATTTTATACATTATTTCTTTATTTCATTCATTCATTTTACACTTTCATTTTTGCATTCATTCGTTCATTTTATAGGTTCTTTCATTCATACATTTTGCTTTTTTCTTCATGTTTCATTAATTTTATTCCTTCCTTCGTTCTTTTTCTCCTTTCCTATCATTTTATTTTATTTTCCTTCTTGATTTCTCCTTTATTTGTCTTTATTTCTTCGTCATTTTTGTCGCTTCCTTCTTATTTTTTTTCAATTCCTCCCCTCTTTGCTTTTTCATAACTTCTCTCTTTATTTTCATTTTCCTACTTTTCTTTTCTTTCTTTTTGTTCCCGCGTTCATTTTCTCCTTCTTGCTTAGTTCCATCACATTTTTTTTTTACTTTTTCTCGATTTTCTCTATTTTGTCTTTCTATCTTGCTTAATTTTGGTTTTCATCCTTTACCTTTATTTTATTTTATTTTTCATTTATTCTTTCTTTTTTACCACTTTCTTATTCCAAAGACTATGGTTTATTGTATCACAAATCTTATACTTTCTCATTCCTTTACATACATAAATGATAACGCTTGTTTTCCAATATTGCCCACTAAGCCGATTTGTTCTTGTTTTAAATCATTCTTCTCATCTCTATTGCAGGCCTCATAATTGACGAGCATTTCTTTGACTCATTTTGCCAGTTTTATTTTCAGTGATTTTTATATCTGACTCTGTCATGGGTTTCACAAAAAAAATCCCTTTTTAATTCTTCTATTTCTATTTTAATTTCTAACAACTATATCTTCATATGAGAAACCCACAAAACAAGAACATCATCGCGTGCAGCAAAGAAGGCGAAACAAGAAAAATAAAACGAGATATTGAAGATGGCAAATTAAATCGAAGACGAAACGCTTCCTTTGTCGATAGTTTTTCGACAGGAAGCATAGGACGGGAGGAATGGTATGAAGAAGCTTGGGGGTGAGGTGATGAACAATTAACTTCTGAAGCCAAAAAGTTACAGTAATTTAACATCGAAGTGCTTGGAAAATGGTAGATCTCTTACTGATGTGAATGATTGCGAATAACTAATAAAAACTGAAATTTCGAAAAAAAAATGTCTAAAAACGAATGAAAAAATTTTAACAACGTCTATGCCGGAGGATAGAAATTCGACAAATTTAAAAGGATATTTTCACTAGATTTTTCACTTAGATCTTCTTTTTTTTATTTATCCAAGTGATTTTTTACGAATACACTTTTAAAGTTTATTGGTTTATTAGATAAGCAGACAAAAATGTTCTCTAAGTATTACATAAGAATTGATAGCGAATGACAAATTCTGCAAATCGTCCCATTATTATTTCTTATCCTGAAACCTACTATTCATTGCCTCCATCTCTATCTATAAAAGGCAGGATGTGTGTGTGTGTGTGTGTGTGTGTGTGTGTGTGTGTGTGTGTGTGTGTGTGTGTGTGTGTGTGTAACGAATGTACGGCCGCAATTTTCGACGGATTTGCACCAAAGTTTACATGCACATGCTCCAAGTTAGCGAGAAGGCCAAGACCGACTTTGCATTTCCCAACTCCCATCGATAGTGGAAATTACCAATTTTTTCATGCTTCTACGGCAGTTTTCATGTAGTTTAGGGCCATTTTCTACTGGCCAGAGTGAAAGCCTATAGCTGGCTGCCATGAATAGGCAGGAAGATTCTAATGACCAGCGTGAGAGCCAACAGCTTACTGACACGAATTTTAACTAGCATGCTAGCATGCACAAAAAAAAATCGATAGCTGCATTCCTCATAAGTGGAAAAAATTTAAATCTGCATGGCACTTTACTCCAATTGGCTCTTTCGCTTGCTTAAACTCTGCAGAATCGGGTTGGGTGTGAAAAAGTATTTGTTGTTAACATTCTTTTTTCATTCGGTTTTTCCAGTTACGTGTCGTTTTAAAGCTGATCGTTTTGTGTTCATTTTGTTTAGTTTTTTTTTCGTAACAGAGTTAATGTTTAGTATAGAGCTTAGAAAAAATTCGCAGTGTGAGATAGGCAAGAAGTAAGGCATGTAGCAGCATCAGCACGGCAAAGGGCACTCCTTTAAAGGCAAGGAAGGGCAAAAATATTTAAGTCAAGTGATAGCAATTGCTGTATGAGTCGTATTATTTTTTAATCAAGCACGGGCAACGACGGGCCATGCTGCTAGTAAAGTATATGATATAGATACTATGCCCGATTTACACCAGTCAAAAAAGGCCAAAGGTTTGTACTTATTTATTTTCGTACTGACGGTAAATACTTTAGAAATTTTGAGGAAGAATCATGTGGATATATATCACATTGCCATCTGCATGTATCCCGATCTTTTCTTTATGCATCACAGGTTATCTTTCTCCGATGCAGCTCGATTTTCAATATACCCATCTTTTTATTCAAACCCGTTGGTTTTTACTAAGATTACTAAGCCTGGACGTGTGCTTCACCTGTAAACATTTTCCTTTGATATCATGCATTACCTTTACATGATATATTTTGAACGGAAGCTACTTAAACCCAGCAGATATTTTCAGATTATATGAAATTATTTTTTAAGATAATAATGGTTTAGGGATAAAAGGCTTACTATTTATCTCATAGCTGACGGGTGTAGATGCAGACCTTTCCCAAGGATATTTGCGCGTTAGTGAATATGAACAATCTAATTGTAATTGAAACTCGTCTCTGGGATTAACAATTCCGAGCCATTATCGATTACACCACCCGCACGTCCAATCTTACATCACCTGGTATTTACAAGTGGTCACATATCTAAGTACTTTTCAAACTCGAATTTGCTTAACTTCGGTGATCGTACTGGAACCGATGTCTCAGCGGCAATTATCAATATATATATATATATATATATATATATATATATATATATATATATATATATATATATATATATATATACATACATATATATATATATATATATATATATAATGAGCAGAAAAGAATAACGAGGAGGACAACAGATAGCGATTGACATATATATGCATATATATATATATATATATATATATATATATATATATACTCACACACACACACACACACACACACACACACATATATATATATATATATATATATATTTTAAATATGGAATGAGTAGGAAGATGTACTTAATCCTTTATTTAGTTTTTCCAGTATCATTACATTTTTCTGTTTTGTAGGAGTAAGGGAATACAGAAAATTTCCATAATTTTCATTGTCCCAAGCGCTTTTGGCCACTTTTTTTTAACCATTTTCAAGAGGATTCTGTTTTTGGTGTTAGTATTTCTCCTAGTGTTTGACTGTTTAACAAAACAAAACTTTTAACATTCCATTTTCACTGATAAATAAGGTGATGTTTATATTAGGCGAGAGATGTTTAATCAACATGACATTTCTAATAGCGAGGTATAATTGTAAATTTTAGGGTGGTATATATGTTTTTTATAGCACAGTGACACGGTAGGAAGTTATAGTATGTATGTTTGAAAAACTAGATGAAAATATTAATTTAATTTTCCTTGTATGCTGTATTTCATGAAAGTTGTTTAAAAGAAAGACCAATGCTCATATATATATATATATATATATATATATATATATATATATATATATTATATTAGCTTGGGAAATATGTGTGTATATGTGTGTGTGTGTGTGTACTGATTACTTGTGGTGGGATAGTGTGTATGTGTGTATGTGTGTGTATCCGTGTATAGGTACAAGTAAGTTTACGAATTCCTCGTAGTAAGACAGTATATGTGTGTGGGGAAATATAGGCACGCATATATACACGCATGCTGACAGAAACGCACCAAAATGGAAACAGATCCAAGAGCACATAGGGGTCAGTAAAACATTAAAAGATAAAATGCCGATAACTAATTTATCATCTCGCTGGACCAACCTTAATTGTTTTATGACCCTTCGCGCAGAACTCTTCATTGCCAATTCAAGAAAGAAATTCAGATTACCAACACACAAACAGAAAATGTCTCATATCGAGAATATTTAACATTGTACATGAGGAAAATTAATTATTTTTAATAATATGTGGAAATTCCACTTTTACCTGAAGACGGTCGCGAGACCAGAAACACGTGTCGTAAAAATTATGTAAAACAAAGCATAATATTTTTTCCAAATAAATCCACATTACAACCAAAAAACGTTTGCGGCACCTCTCTTCTCTTCTTTTAATATACATACTTTTCTCTCGTTGGAACCACTACATTATATTTCTTTTATATATATATATATATATATATATATATATATATATATATATATATATAGCATAATGAGAAGCCACGTATACTTTCTTAATATGTATATATAGAAAAAAGTTTCAAATTGAAAATTATAATGTTTTATGAAAGTATTTATTTATTTATATATATATTTGATATTTCAAATTGTCCTCAATTTTTCATCAGAAATAACTGTTTGTTACAAATAAATTAAAATTACTGTTTGTTAGCAAGTAGCGTCCTTCGCGAGACGCGGACGTCACGTGATATGGAACGTCACTGTTCGGATATTCCTCAATATATATATATATATATATATATATATATATATATATATATATATATAAAAAAAGAATATGTTTACCTTATTCACTACAAGGTTTACAACCGCGAATTAACATCAGGTGGTGAGTTAAATTGCATTATCCAACGCCGGGAAAACTGATATTACTACCGGAAAGTTCAATGAAGAAGAGAGGGTATGGCAAAATAGAAAAAAAAACTTTTTTATTTTCTTTCTCGTTCCCCACCCTACACTTTTTCTCTTATGCGTTTCTTCCTTCCACTCCCCATTGATAACCTTCATGCGGGTGCGTAAAGGCTGAGAATGTATTTATAATTACGACTACATTTAGACATTAAAACTGACCTTCCATTTAATAATTATTTTACAACCCGGATTAGTAACATAGGCCAACTTCTCTTCTTGTCACAATTTACAACTGTTGCCGCTAGTTCTTCCAGACTTAAATGTATTTGTCTGACTTACTCTAATTTTGATTTTGATCTAACACCACCAATTTTCTATTGTGGCGAAAATTCAACGAGTATGAAAAAGAAGAGATCAAGGGATAAGCTGCAGATTAGTAAAAATATCAGAACGATTGAGATTCTAACGTGTCCCTTTTATAGAGGCTTGAAATTCTGTCATGTCAAATATAAAGTAATTGATGCTGCTAGCAGAAAGAGAATGGCAGCGTTAAGCTGCAGGTAACTATTTTTGAGAGATTTCATTCCAGTCAAGACGAGCTTTTCAAAATTTTGAGTGGGAGACAATGGTGAATTGAAATTCTTAAAGCAATTTTGTTGAACACGAAGAGAATAAAAATATTCAAATGTTCTATTGCAGCTTGATCCCAATTGAGAGCTTTGGATTTCTTGGTGTCAAAATGTCATTAAAATGTTATGAATTTTATCTGAGTTTATTTCTTATCCATTTTCCTATTCACGTATCTTTCGTTTGTTTCGCTTATCCTTTCACTCAAGTATCGAACAATCTTGTATGTTATAAATGCTATAGGTAGGGTTTTCAAACACCGTAAATCGCAACAACTCCAAAGCATTAAAACATCGTAAAAAAAAATCAGCATGTGGAATTAATGAATACTGAATGATTTTTGTGCCCTGGTGTATGGATCATTTGTCCAAAATTGTAAATAGCTACAACCCCAAAGCATTAACCAAAAAACTCGGGTCAGGTTCATAAAAAGGTGAGTCAGATCGAAACTTTTATATGGATGTCATGCATGGCGCTAAACCCGTTAAGATACTGGGTGGAGCAGCAAAATTGTCCAAGTCGTGTAGCTTAATTTTGTACCGCTGGAATCCTCCGAGGTTTTTATAACTCTTTGAACAATAAAAATGTATTTAGCTCTAAGTTGGAAAAGATGATCCCTCTTTCTGTTGTGACCCTTTCATCCAGTTTTCCTCTCTACTGTTTTATTTTTAAACATATTCACAGTTTTTCTTCATGATTCTTGAATGGAGTTCTAAGATGGAAGCCAGAGTGTAAATTTTGGTGCTAATAATGAAAGCCTGGATGATCTTTTTTGTCATACTATTGAACAGTTTGGGAGACATTGGTAACACAAAATGATTTTAACCTGTTCTCTTTCTAGCTGTATAACTCAAACACAGCTCTTACAATAAATGGTTTCAAGATAGCTAAACGGCTAATCTGAAAATGTGGAAAGAAGAATCTCAATTAATTTGGGGGCTTTTGTAGATATTAAACATTTTGTGAGAGGGACAATTATCGCATGTTGTAATACGATTTGGACAAGTTTGCTTTTACACCTGGTGTATCTAAACTCTCAGCTGTATTTAACAGCTTTCTGGGATCAATGATAATATATGGCAGCTGTACTCGATATTAGGCTTGATCAGGTTCTTATGAAGGTAGAGGATAATACTAAAAGTCAGGTTCTTACTAGGTCATTATAGGGAACCAAATACTTCCCCAGCATCTTTAGCGATGGATCGTACGTACGAGTTGTGCTATGTCTGGGTGGAGTTTTTTTTAACGGACTTTTCCTGTACAGACAACGATAAGAAATAATTAATTTTCATGTCATTATAGATTAACCACTCCAAATCATGAATATCAATTCACTCTTTATTGAATGGTTAATTGCGAATCCAGTTTGTTTTGTAAACTAATTATAAACTGATCTTCCTACGGAAGCACTTCTTCACAAAAAAACGCTTTTTTTAAATTTCTCAAAAAATAGAAAAATATTTATCGTACTCCAGATTGATTAATATCTTAATCAGGTGTGCTATTTTTTTTATTACCCTTGCTTAATTACTTCCCGAATAACAGGAAGAAAATAGCTTCATCCAGGGAAGGACAATGCTGAATTAAAAACATGTTACTAGGAAGCAAAAGACAGAAGACGAAGAAAAATAAAAGGTGACATGCTAAAAATTTAAAGACATTAAAAAACAAAATAAAACAAAAGCAAGAGAGTACATATGATTATATAAGTAAAACCTCGACAGAAGAAATGTCCTTCTCACAAGAAACATTTTGAATCACATTTCAAACTTAACCTGACTAAACTAAAGATATCCGCAGGTATTGAACACTAGCAGCATGGTCCGGCGTTGCTCGTGCTTGATTCAAAAATCGTACGACTCATACAGCAATCGCTATCAATTGTTGCCCTTCCTTGCCTTTAAAGGAGTACTCTTTGCCGTGCTGATGTTGCTACATGCCTTACTTCTTGCCTATCTCGCACTGAGAATTTTTTCTAAGCTCTATACTAAATATAAATCTGTTACAAGAAAGAACTAAACAAAATGAACACAAAACGATCAGCTTTAAAAAAGGACTCGCAACTGGAAAAACCGAATGAAAAAAGAATGTTAACAACAAATACTTTTTCACACCCAAACCAGTTCTGCGGAATCAGAATCAACGTTGAGTTTAAGCAAGCGAATGAGCCAATTGGAGTAAAGTGCCATGCACATTTAAATTTTTCACACTTATGACGAATGCAGCTATCGATTTTTTGCAAGCTAGCATGTTAGTTAACATTCGTGTCAGTCAGATGTTGGCTCTCACACTGGCCAATAGAATCGTCCTGCCTATTAGAGTCAGCCAGCCATAGGCTCTCACTCTGACCAGTAGAAAATGGTCGCAAACTACATGAAAACTGCCGTAGAAGCATAGAAAATAGATTATTTCCACTATCGATGGGAGTTGTGAAAGGCAATGTCGGTCTTGGCCTTCTCGCTAACTTGGGACATGTGCATCTAAATTTTGGTGCAAATCCATCGAAAATTTCAGCCGTTATTTCATTCGTTACACACACACATAAACACACACCCATCCTGCCTTTTATAGATAGAAATATACTAATATACATCAAGTTCGTCTTAAAACATACAATAATAAAAACTACTGACCAAGAAATAAGGGAAACTATTGACAAACTAAAGAAAAATAAAACATCACTTAAAATTGAGTTTGAAATTTTAAAAAGTTTGCTTTCTCCTCGTATTCAATAAAAAGTTTCTTATTTTTAAGATGGAAGCAGGAATGCATCTCGAAAATGACGGTATGATCATTCAATAATGCATTGTAGTGACAAAAAAGTAGCCTTCAAGCCTCTCACATCAACAAAGCTATCGCATTTCGATCAATTATTGCGAAAATTTTAATAAACATTGTATTAACTATACTCTCATCGTTTTATCATTGTCAACTCTTCCCAACCCAGTTTGGTTTTCACTCTTGAAAGATGTGTATTGATAGTATATATGTCATTAAACAACTCCAGTAGATTTTATACTTATCTAATAAGAACGTATATAGATTCTGCGTCGACCTTATAGCAGCATATGCCTACATCGATAGAGACTTCCCCTTGTCATCTATTAGAAACTGCCTTCCAAGCATGAACGCATCGGTCTAATAGAGAACATACTGGCCTACAAAATCTTATATGTTTGATATGGGCCCCAATAAGGAAACGTTTAAATGATCATCAGTAGTAGAATAAGAAGGGTTAGAAATTATGTCTATTTAATATTTTCCAAGACTATACCCTGCGCATTTACATGTACAGATGTGAAGAGATGATCACCGATCATTGACGCATTCAATATCATATCACAAACTGATCTAATAATCGATAAAAACGTTGCTGCATTCCCTCTAGAAAGCAATGTACTGCTGAAAACATAGGTATTCCTAGTTGGCGTTAAAATGATCTTAAACAGAAAATCAACATCAAATAGCAATTCTTCCAAGAAATAGTACCTACGGCAAACGTTTCCTAAACAGAAATTATGGTCTGAAATTTAAATGAAAGCTCTGATGTCATGTACTCCGGATATATCGTAAAAAAATAAACATGTGGAATTAATGAATAGTGCACGCTTCTTGTGCCCTTGTGTATGGATCAGTTGTCCAACACCGTAAATCGCAACAACCCCAAAGCATTAACCTAAAAACTCGGGTCAAGTTCATAAAAAGGTTAGTCAGATCGAGACCTTTATAAGGATGTCTTGCACGGCGCTAAAGCCGTTAAGATACCGGATGGAACAGCAAAATTGTCCAAGTCTTGTAACAGCAAAATTGTCCAACTGTTATATTAAGCTTTGAACCCTTGTATCTTAGAAATGATTAAAGATATCTTACTGGAATTCTCCGAGGTTTTTATAACACTATTGGACTCTACTTTGAACAATAAAAATGTATTTAGCTCTAAGTTGAAAAGATGATTCCTCTTTCTCTTGTGATCTCCTGATCCAGTTTCGCTCTCGAATGTTCCTTCCTTTTTAAACGTTCTCTTGATGGTTCTTATATGGACTTTGAAGATGGAAGTCAGAGGTTGGTACCAATACTGAACGCCTGAATGATCTTTTTCGCCATACCATTAATCACTTTGGAAGACATTGCTAACACAAAATGATTTTAAACTGATCTCCTTCTAGCTGAATAACACCAAACACAACTCTTACGACAAACAGTGTCAAGATAGCTAAACGCCTTATGTGAAAATCTGGAAAGAAGAAACTCAATTAGTTTAGTGGCTTTTTTAGATATTAAACATTTTATGACAGGGACCATTATCGCATGATGTTATACGATTTGGACAATTTTGCTGTTACACCTAGTACATCTAAACTCACAGCTGTATTTAATATCTTTATGAGATCAATGATCATATATGGCAGCTGTACTCGATTTTAGGCTTGATCAGGCTCTTGTAAGGGTAGAGGGCAACACGAAGAGCCAGGTACTACTAGACCGGTACAGGGAACCGAATATTTCGCCATCATCTTTAGCGATGGATCAACCCAGATATAGTACGATCCGTACTATGTCTTGTTTGAGTTTAGGCGATCAATGCATGGGCCTTTGCTGAGAGGTCATCGATTCCTCGTGACTGTTGATCCAATATCAAACTTGCTGTATAACTTTTAAATCGGTGTTGACAAAAATGACTGACGGCACATTCTGCAATATTTGTATCCACAGTTAAGAGAAGGTTGTACAAATGATAGACCCATTTGTGATGAATATTTTCTAGGCTTAAATAATCCCATCAATTTACGTATTTGAAATGAAATGAAATTCTTTAAGCAATTGTAGAGAGTAGAATATATTCTGAAATGGCTGTTCTCTGAACCATTTGAATTTGCAGATGTATAATTAAATTCAGGTAAGGTATTTGTTGCTGGTCTGAAACCTTCATGGTTCCTATCACTTTTATTTATTTATTATGCTCCTGGTACCTGAATTGTTTTGGGCGATTTTCATTCAACAATGAAACGTCGTTGTCTCTCCATATCCAGTGATTTACGTTCTA